GAGAATGAGCAACTCAAGCAAGAAGTAGCTCGCCTTAGCAAGGACTTGACTCAAGTGAAAGGCAAGGCGATGCAAGCTCAACTTCATCAAGATAACACCATTAAGGAAGTGAAGAAGCTTGATGAAGGACAAACCATGGTTTGCTATGTGTGCCACAAGGAAGGTCATAAGTCCTATGAGTGCAAGGTGAAGAATGGGGGAGGAGCAAAGAAGAAAGAGAAGAATCAAACAAGCAAGCTCTCCAACACCTACACCAACAAGGTGAATAAGAAGGCCTCCACACCTTATCTTTTGAAGAAAAAGAAAAATGACAAGATGGTGGCTATCAAGGTGAACAAACAAGCCAACAATAGGGTCAAAGCGTTTTTGAGTGCCAAAGGAAATCATTTCCAACATGAAGAGCACCAAGAAGGTTTGGATCCCGAAAGGGAAGTGAGAAATCCGATGGACTCTCGGGGAATTTGGAGACTTGGCAAAGTATGGATGCATTTCATGGGGTGCATCATGATGGACAAAATCATTGCCAAGTGGGTTAGTGAATATTATGGACCTAAATTCCCCTTCCTATGTTAGATAACTAGATTTAATTTCCTTCAAGTAGTATCATTTTGCATTTCCTATAAGTGGTATTTCTTACAAATAGATATCTTTAAGCATCTAGTTACTTTTCATGCCTATGTTTGTATTTGCATGCTTATATATTTTGTCATGCATACACTAGGTATATCTTATGGTAGGCTTGCTCGGTTTCATTCTTAACCCTTGTAGCAAACCTACATGGTTTTAAAATTGTTTAGGAGCACATCACATAGCTTGTCTTTTGATTGTTCATCTAATATGTGTCAAAGTCCAAATTATAGATAATTTCTCCCGAATATCATCTTCGAAAATGATTCTCACATTCATGAGATATCATTTTCAAATGGTATTATTGATTCTAAAATCAATGTGCATGACTTCTATAAGTATCACACACTTGTGTGCACAAATTTAGGGAGAGGTTACTCTATAAGTTGGATGCTTTGAGACTAACACCTTTTCAAGCTTATCATGTGTGTAGTAGTCTCATTGCAATGAAAATGGAGTCCCTAGAGTTAAGCATCATACTTCAAATATCCACCACCTATTGCAAGTGGTAGAAATAAAATTGGTTTCCACATGTGGTATTTCTAAACCGATATCATCATGTTGATTTCATTTTGATATTTATATTCTTTTTCCATGCATTATATAGATTATATTCCCTTGAGCAATAATTTGCCAAATATGCATATGCCTTGCTTTCTACCATATGTATGCATATATTTAGGGGGAGCTTAATCTATATAATGTGAGTTAAATTTTGTGACCTATTCCACTCTACACACAAAGGATAATAAAGTTTGACCCTCTCTTGTGCTATTAATGCCTCCTTTTTGGTGTTTGATTCCAAAGGGGGGAATTTAAAGGACCAAAAGCAAGCATTAATTTATAGGGACATAAGCTAGATCATAATAATTTACAAGTGGTAATGGTCTACAAGTGGTAATGGTCCTGAGAAAGGGAGGATAGTGGATTATGGATTAGTCTATGTAATGAGGAGAAATTGTAGAAAGCAAGGCTCAAATCCATAATGCCACATGAGGATATTTTATAAGGGCAATATAAGTTTTTATGTAGTATCTTTTAGTCTTATAAGTAGTATCTTTTAGCATCATATAACCTTGTCCCTTGCATTGCATCCTAGCAAGTAGATAGTTTTTAAATTCTAAATTTTTATTATTTGCTTGCTTTGATCGTGTTGTCATCAATCAACAAAAAGGGGGAGATTGTAAGGAAAATGGACCATTGGCTTATTTACTTTGAATTTTGGTGTTTGATGACCAACACAACAAAATTAGACTAATGAATTTGCAAGTGATTGTTTTGTAGTTTAATAGGATGCAAGACGTGACTTGGACGAATGCGACGTGATGATCCGATGATCAACACCATAAGCAAGACCTTAGAAGCACAAGAGAAGACCAAGATATCAAGCAAAGTCCAAGCACAAAGATAGGAACCAAGCCGGACGCAAAATCGTGAAGAAACGAGCTTACAGAGGTGACCAGACACTAGGCCGGACGCTGGTAGCACAGTGATCGAACGCCACGATCAAGAGGCTCGGCAGCAGTAGCGACTGGACGCTAAACAAACAAATCGACCGGACGTAGGACAGCAGAGTCCGATCGAGTACAGAGAGGTTCTAGAGCGGCAAAATTGCGACCGGACGCATCCGGTGGCATGTGACCGGATCGCTGGCAGCATCCGATCAGTTGATCACGGCTCCAACGGTCGGGACGATCGGACGCTTGCCGGAAGGCACGTCGGAGACTCACTTGCGCGTGGGGAAGGCCGAGACTATCCACGGAATTACTCGACCGGGAGCTTGGCATTTGTAAGGGATTCATTGCGAGGGGCTCCAACGAGGACTAGGAGGAAGCTTGCGTGTTTCTCGATACTTCAATAAAAATACCAGAGTTGTCGACGGAGTTTGCATATATCTACCTTGCTCTTTCGCTTCCGCATTTATATTGATTGTATTACTCCTTTTTTACGATAGAGATAGCAACACACTAGTAAAACCGTAGTTGCATATTTAGATAGTTTATCTTTTGCATAGGTTTTGTTAATGTTAGAAAAAGAGGTCATAGTTTAGAGTTAGAATTTTAAGTTGCCTAATTCACTCCCCTCATAGGCGTCACGGTTCCCTTCAACTTCCTTCATAAAAAACTCTAACACAACAATCTATCTACAAAAGCATTTCAAGAAACTTCATTAAGTCGTCGAAATCGTCGTACGTAATGTCCATAGTAATATTAATACATATTCTAACTATAACTATACTAACTAATCTAATATTAACATCTATACAAGGCTAACTATAACAACTAATTAGACTAAATACAATATATAACTAGACCCACTAACTATACTAACTAAAATACCTAACTTTACTATCTATACTAACTTACTATATTACCTATAAGAACTAACTTTACTAACTATACTAACTATACTTTACTAATTATACTAACTTTATTTATTTTACTAACTTACTATACTAACAATATCGATTCAATCAACAAATACCGGGGAGTACTGGGAGTACCAATGCAGCGCTAAATCCTTATGATGGCGTGCTAGACCCGATCGAGGCGCTTGGGCGCCGGCCTCGGCGGCGGTGGGTAGCCCTGCGTCGTGGTCGGAGGGGTGGCGCGTGCGGCGTCTTGGCGCAATGGCGCGCGGCGGCGGCGCGGCGTTAAATGTGTGGCTTGGCGGCGTGCTGCTCGGTGGCGTGGCAGCCACGCGGGCGGCGGCGCAGGCGGCGCGGCGGCAAAGCGGAAGGGGCGGGCATGGCGCTTTATTCGCTCTGCCGCGCCAAGATCGGTGGCGTGGCAGGCCCTGCCATGTCACCGGTCAGCATTTTCGGTCGTCGCCACGTCATCCACCCACCGCGCCACCATGCTTCGCCGCGCCATGGCAATAGGCGCGACCAAAAGTGTTAGTTTTGAAAAAAAAAACAGTGTTAAATTTAAAATTTGTTTACAAAAAAGTGTTAATATTAAAAAAACCCTACGGTATGGTAGTGTACAGGTGTTCAAGCGTATGTGTTGTTTTATTTTAAAGATTAAAGAAAAACTTAACACAATAAATTCTATTTATTCGAAAACTTGTATATATAATAATCGCTAGATGGTTGCCTGCCGTTTTCTTTCTCCTGTTATATTTTTTATAATGAACTATAATTAAAATATATTTCGTTTACTTTTTTTTATAAAAAAACACATATTTCGCTTTGAATGCCGTGTGCAAGAGGATCCTCTGGAGCCGCAACACGCAGAATGTGCCACACCCGCTGGTGCCTGCTGGGCGAGCAGCGTGAGCGCACCGCTGGCCACAAGTAGCAGTGCTTCCTTTCCTTTGCTCTCGTTCTTTTCTCCAACAGTGACGCTGACACAGGTCCTTTCGAAGCGATCGTTCGGCTTCCCGGGCGATTCAGGGAAACCTGTGCTGAACATGCCTGCCGCCCGGATCAGCGTCGGGATTATGTGCTTCAATTCGCGTGGCTCCCAGCAGAGCCGTGTCACGAGTTCGGCGAAGCCCCTATTTTTATGTTTATTTTTTTTCCCTTCGTTTATCTGCAAAATCCGTCGTAAGCGTAGACCAAAAGCTCACGTCGGTTTTGTCTCTGTGTAAATGTGTTATATGCACTACAAGCACGAATTTGTAGACGTAGTGGTGGCTTGCTGGCAACGTCGGTAGACAACAAAACCGTGTGACGAACGTAAAGCTTCTGCGCAGTACTGCGTCTAGCGTACGTACTGCACATATGCATGGAGAATTGGAGAAACAAACGAAGGCAAAGGCCAAAAAGGGTGCTCGGTAGCTGTTTCATTGTGCCATCCACCTGCGTGGTCAGCCTCACTACTGCACCAGCCAGCTGATTCATCATACTCATACTCTAGTAATTAACCATGAACTCTCCTAGCTCAGAGCATCGTACCAGCGAACAGATTGCACCCGCGAACTCATGAGGGCATAATCGCAGCACGTCAGGGATAAGGCCAGCGCGCATGGGCACTTGGGAATTTCGCGTTCCAACTTCCAAGGGCATCCCAGATATCAAACTGCAGCACAGGGCATAATCGCAGCAGGTCGACCGGTCAACACGCCGCCGCATAGGCATAGCTGCTACGCACTGCCACTCAACTCTGGCCGGGTCCCATCTCCTCCCCGCCGCATATACACGGGATACACCAACCACTACTGCACCCAGCAGCAGTGTATGTACGTGTACCACAGCACAGAGAGCGAGCACACTTTCCCGAGTGCGTGTATATATAGCACCGGATGGAGAGCTCCAAGCCTGCATCCAAACACAGCTGAGCTAGCTCATCATCTTGGCACGTCGATCTATCGATCTACCCGTCCGTCGCCAGCACAGCACTGATCACCTGGCAGCAGTGAGCGATCGACCGATGGCGCGCGAGCTCGTGGCCATGGCGCTGCGGTTCCTCCGCGAGTACGTGCGGGCGTCGGACCTGGGCGTGGCCGCCGCGGTGCTCTTCGTCTGCAGCGCGGCCAGGAGCCGGCTGTCGTCGCGTCCGGGCGAGCCCATGCTGTGGCCGGTGGTGGGCATCATCCCGACGCTGTTCGCGCACCTCGCGATCGGCGACGTCTACGACTGGGGCGCGGCGGTGCTGTCCCGGTGTCGCGGCACGTTCCCGTACCGCGGGACCTGGGGCGGGGGCTCCTCGGGCGTCATCACCTCCGTGCCGGCCAACGTGGAGCACGTCCTCAAGGCCAACTTCGACAACTACCCCAAGGGGCCCTACTACCGGGAGCGGTTCGCGGAGCTGCTCGGCGACGGCATCTTCAACGCCGACGGCGACTCGTGGCGCGCGCAGCGGAAGGCGGCCAGCGCCGAGATGCACTCGGCGCGGTTCCTCCAGTTCTCGGCGGCTACCATCCAGCGGCTGGTGCGTGGTCGGCTGGTCCCGCTGCTGGAGACGCTGAGCGAGCGTGGGCACTCTGTGGACCTGCAGGACGTGCTGCTCCGCTTCGCGTTCGACAACATCTGCGCCGCCGCGTTCGGGGTGGAGGCCGGGTGCCTGGCCGACGGGCTCCCCGACGTGCCGTTCGCGCGCGCGTTCGAGCGCGCCACGGAGCTCTCGCTCACCCGCTTCTACACGCCGCCCTTCATCTGGAAGCCCAAGCGGCTCCTCGGCGTCGGCAGCGAGCGCGCGCTCGTGGACGCCGCCCGCGCCGTGCGGGAGTTCGCCGAGCGGACCGTCGCCGACCGCCGCGCCGAGCTGCGCAAGGTCGGGGACCTGGCCGGCCGCTGCGACCTCCTCTCGCGGCTCATGTCGTCGTCGCCCCCTCCCGCCGACGCCGACGCCGGCCCCGCGGCGGGCTACTCCGACGAGTTCCTGCGCGACTTCTGCATCAGCTTCATCCTCGCGGGCCGCGACACCAGCTCCGTCGCGCTCACCTGGTTCTTCTGGCTCCTCGCCTCCCACCCGGACGTGGAGGCCCGCGTCCTGGACGACATCGCCCGCAGCGGCGGCGGCGACGTCGGGGCCATGGACTACCTCCACGCGGCCCTGACCGAGTCCATGCGCCTTTACCCGCCGGTGCCCGTCGACTTCAAGGAGGCCCTGGAGGACGACGTGCTCCCGGACGGCACGCCGGTGCGCGCGCGGCAGCGGGTGATCTACTTCACGTGCGCCATGGGACGGGACAAGGCCACCTGGGGCCCCGACTGCCTGATGTTCCGCCCGGAGCGGTGGCTGAACAAGAGCGGCGCGTTCGCGGGCGGCGCCGAGAGCCCCTACAAGTACGTGGTGTTCAATGCGGGGCCCAGGCTGTGCGTCGGCAAGCGCTTCGCGTACACGCAGATGAAGACGGTGGCGGCGGCGGTGCTGGCGCGGTTCCGCGTGGAGGTGGTGCCGGGGCAGGAGGTGAAGCCCAAGCTCAACACCACGCTCTACATGAAGAACGGGCTCATGGTGCGCTTCGTCGCCAGGGAGCAGCGGCACGAGCTCGGCCACCCTGTGCCTGCTGCAGCTGATCTTGCAGGTGGGTGCTCGCTCCATTAACACGACCTGCCTCTGAGTCTAAGCCCGCGCGCGATTGAGCAGGACTGTCATTATGCATAAAATCAGTACTGTTTCATTCATTTGTACTCATGGATTCACCGGTTTCTCGTCGAACAGGGGAAGATTGAAGAAGATCAGTTCGAGGCCCTTTTCTGGGGGATGAAGCCCAACACCACCAGGGAAAGAACTAAGTAAAAGTTACTCAGGGCGGAAGACGTCCAATGCGCAAATTAATATATACTGTGGCAGTGGCATACTTGTGCTATATACTTCCTGTTTCTCTGTGTGTATGTAAGTGTGTTGTATCGTGGTAAACTGGTAATGCCGTCCCCATGAAAATTTACTTTGTTCGATGTGTATCCAACTCAATCCACGTATATTAGAGTGGAATGGAATTGAATTTAGTTTAATTCCACTCTAATCCACTTCAACACACGTGGATTGAGATAAATACATATGCATTCAAACAAGGTCTTGCTGTGTGTTCCAACAAACGAATGTACATTTGTTCCATCTGTTTGAAATTAAAAACATTATTTCATACACTGTACAATAATTACTCGATCAATATATAGTTAATGTCATTAGATTTGATTTTTTTGAATTACACGTACATTCTAATGATCACAGCAAGAAAGAACGACTCGGTAAGTAAACATGCCGAGATGGCAAGCATAAAGCATTTGAGGTTCAGGAATCAGGAGAGGAGGGGGGAGTGGCGTGAGGTTTTGAAGTGCTTCAAAGAATTTTCTTGTCATGCCAACAAATTAGTGTATCTCTTGAATAGCTCACCTAGGTCTGGGTGGGTGCACTCCTTCCCACATAAGTTACGTTCTATGTGGTTTTATTGTTTTTCTATCTCCATTGCAAAAATTTAGGTACGAGGTTAATTGAACAAGAATTTACCTCCTAAAGTTAATTTAAATAATAGTATATATAGGAGGCCCTGTTTGATTTATGAGACTAAACTTTAGGCCTGAGCTAAAGTTTATGGGTTGTTTGGATTCAGGGACTAAAGATTAGCCATTTACTCTATCATGACACATTTGCTCCTAATTAATATTCATGCACATGACTGAAAGAAGGTGGTTGGGGTAACATGTGTCCTTTGTCATGAAGGGATAATTTTTAGCCCTCTTTAGCCCACTCTGGAGGGGCTAATGAAAAAAAATAGGCTAAAATTTAGCCTCAACTATTAATCTCTATGTTTGGATTCATGAGCACTAAAAGATAAATAACTCGGCTTTGAAGCCACGCTCTTTTGGACAGGTCCTAACCCTCGTAGTAGGAAGGTTTTTGTAGAGGCGTAAAGCTACGACTTTCGCCCCCTCAAGTTCAAAACTTCGAACCCATGTGTCTACGATTTACAGAGTACATACATTTGTGCGGGTTGCCTTCGGACGATTTATTTGTATCCATGCATTAGGGGTGTCTTTATTCACGGGTCAGAGTGAGAGCGTCTGTGCGTGTGTTATAGTGTCATGGGTGGTAGCGTGCTCATGTCATGTGTCCCTCCTATAATTGCAAAAGGAAAACGAGTTAATACGGTTTAATTTTCAGGCACGTACGTACGTACACCCGCAGTCCAGAAAAAAACGCAATTCTAGCGGCTAGAATTACATTTTTTACGAAGGGAGGGAATAGGCGTCGCCAGCGACGACGTACGAGTGGATAGTGACATCATTGTCGCTGTGCTGCCTGTATCTGTCACGCGATGCGACGATTGCAAGTCCGCATGGATGCATCATGCAGGGTTGGTTGCGGACGTGGCGATTTGTATCTAATTGCAGTGAAATAACGTCCGAATCAGTGATTCAGCGGTGCTAAGAACCTATGACTCCCTTCTTCGCGTGAACTTAAATCTGACTTGATTCCGCTTTTTTTTATCCGAATCAGTATTTTTTCTTACAAATTTCTTTAAATCTCTCCGATTTCTCCAAATTCTTTGGAGCGAACGGGTCTATGACCCCAGATTTTGCATGGAGTGGGAAACATCATGCCCCTCCCTCCCAATAACCGACGCACCTTTTTTTTTTTTTACAATGACCCCACTGGCGCAACGTGCGCCCGCTGCTCCCCGCTGCGTCAACTGAACTCACATGAACCGAGATCGTGAAATATTTGTTTAACCTGATCTGAGCTTCCTGCGCACAGTCGTTAATTCAAGCTTAAGTCACGGAACTTAAGATTCACAAACAAATGTATTCCGATGCCGCCGTCGGCCCTTCTCTTTCTGCTCGTCGCCCACCTCGCCGCCGGCGAGCCCACATCCACCACGACCCTCACTGCCACCCGTCGACGCTGACCAAATCAGACCACGCAATCACCCTCCGATGGTCGGACCTCCCAGACCCGAGCCCGCTCGACTACGTCGCCGTCTACTCCCCGCCGTCCTCCGGCGACCTCAATTACCTCGGCTTCCTCTTCCTCAACTCCTCCGCCTCCTGGGCCACGGGTGCCGGCAGCCTCACGCTCCCGCGCCTGCCCGACCTACGCGCTCCCTACCAGTTCCGCTTGTTCGGAGGAGGACGGCGCGTTGACCAGCAGGACGGCGACACGCTCCCCGACGCCAGCCACCGCGCCGCCGTCTCCGGCAATGTGGCCTACGAGGGATCTGGCGCCCGGCCCGCTCAGCTGCACCTGGCGTTCACCGACGAGGTGGACGAGATGCGGGTGCTGTTCGTGTGCGGCGACGGCGGAGGGAGGTTTGTGAGGTACGGGCCCGCTGGTCGGCGCGAGGAGGAGTGGGAAGAGGTGCCGGCGGAGGCGAGGACATACGAGCAGCGGCACATGTGCGACTACCCGGCGAACGACAGCGTCGGGTGGCGGCACCCTGGGTTCGTCTTCGACGGCGTGATGAAGGGGTTGCAGCCTGGGACAAGGTACTTCTACAAGGTATAGATACATACAACTTGCATGGATTTTGCTAGTTTCCACTTCGAGTGATATGATTAAGTGTGAGGTTTTGACTTTTGGCTACTAGTAGTACTTTCATTGTGATCTGAGAGTTTGATTTTCTGATAAACAGAGCTCATTGTAGCATTTGGTGCTGGTAATGACTGTCAGATTGAATCTGGGTGCGAAAAATATTTTTGTTGGATACTTGTTCGGCTCTAGCTTGGTTGGAACGATTGCTACGAGTCACTTCAGATTTGAACTGATAAACCCTTGGAATTTAATTTGGTTCCCCATCTGTGGATCTACCCATCCGAACATCCTGGTTTGGGGCCTTGGATTGTCTGAAAGTTGTGCGAAATTTAATTTTAGAACACTAGCTTCAGTTTGATAGTCAAATTTTTTATGCTTGTTTCTTGCATTCGTGCAAGAATTCTTGCTTTTGTGTGCTTCGATTAGGGAACCAAAGCCTACCAGAATCACTCACTACTTGCATCACAGCATACTAGTCCATAAACCTGTGTATCTGCACAGGGCTAGCAATTTTACAACATAAGTATCAGAAGTTTTCGGATAAATCTAGACCTACAAAAATTGAAATTGTCCATACATATACTCCGTACTCTTTATCATATGTAAGACTATGGATACCAATTTAAGTGACTTCCTATCCTCATTCCAAGTTTTCCCTTTTTCATTGCATCACATGCGCTTGACATGTGCTTAGTCGAAACCTTACCTTGAGCTATGTCAGCTATTGTTGTAGCCTATCTATCGAGAGTCGTGACTTCATAAACAAGTTTGTTAAAATCATGATCTTGAATTGTATCGAAACTCTAATGGTAAGATCCCAAATTGTAGATTCTACTTAACAGAATTATAGAATCAACCTAATAAACTAAGATTGTAAAGTAGTAAAATCGCACCATTGAATTTTGATTTTAACAACTATGTTCATAAGTTCAGATTTTGGCCTCCCATTTGATCTTACCTACTGCAATTTTTAAACAGAGCTCATTGTAGCACCTAGTGTTGGTAATGACTGTCAGATTGAATCTGGGTGCATAAATTATTTTTGTTGGATAGTTGAATCTGGGTGCAGAAATTATTTTTGTTGGATACTTATTTGCCTGGCTAGATTGAAAGAAGGATTGGTACGAGTCACTTCAGATTTGGACTCATATAAACCCTTGGGGTTTAATTTGGTTTCCCATCTGCCCATCCAAACATCCTAGTTTGGGGCGTCTAAAGAAGTTAGATGGGATCATATTCATCTGAAAGATGTGCAGAATTTAATTTTGGAACACTAGCTTCAGTTTGATTTTAGCCTACCCCAATTTGCTTGGGACTGAAAGGCTATGTTGTTGTTGTTGTTGTAGCTTCAGTTTGATAGTCTACCACTACTTGCAATACAGCATACCAGTCCATAAACCTGTGTATCCGCACAAGGCTAGCAATTTTACGAGACATAAGTATTATAAGTTTTTGGATAAATTTAAGATCCACAAAAATTGAAATTGTTGACCTAATAAACTAAGATTGTAAAGTCATAAAATCGCATCATAGAATTTTTATTTTAACAACTATGTTCATAAGTTCAGATTTTGGCTTTCCATTCGATCTTACCTACTGCAATTTAAATTTTTCCTCAACATATAAGTTGAAACCCTAGTATTATCTCTTATTCCTGGCTCATTCTTTGGAGATTTTTATTAAGAATCTAGATTTTAGGTCTACAAGTGAACTCTAATTTATTATCATACCATAGTGTTCAATGTGTTGAATTTTCTCTATCATCTGTATATTTCTCTAGGGAAAAAATGGGCGCTTACAATTAAACTAACAATGTAGACATGCTACGACTTTTTTTATTAAACATAATAAGTTTACTTGAACTACCAACTTTTTTTTTGTTATGGAGTATTAATATAATTTAACATGGAATGACTATTGCGCTTTGAAGTTGACTAGACTTAGGATCTTGCTTGTTGCCGACAATCCATCTTGGACTTGGGCTATTTAGCCTTTAGTGAAGCACAAAGAGCAGGACTCCATTGCAAAAACTTAGATTTTGATGTTAGGAACAGATGGCTTGATCCTCGATAGGTAACATTAATTCCATCCATTTTGAAGAGATGTCTTTTTAAATATCAACAAATGATGACTTCTGGAGCAACCACATTTGCATGGCAAGCTAAACTAGGTCAAACAAATAATTATGTTTCATAGCTCATAGTTTCAAGTTTCAACTATGATGAGCATCATCATCATTTGGTATAAATATTCCATTGTATGCCACATTGACCTGATCTTTTGAAGTTTGAACTGTTATTGGTAGGTTGGCAGTGGCAATGATTCAGGTGGTTGGAGTGAGACACACAGCCTCATCTCACGTGACATTGAGGCCAATGAGACCATTGCATTCCTCTTTGGTGACTTCGGCACTTATGTTCCTTACAACACCTACTTTCGAACACCTCAAGAAAGTTTGTCAACTGTGAAATGGATCCTCCGTGATCTTCAAGCCCTTAAAGACAAACCTGCAGTCATTTCACATATCGGTGACATCAGCTATGCTAAAGGTTATGCGTGGTTATGGGATCATTTCTTCGAACAGATTGAACCTATTGCCGCGAATACACCATACCATGTCTGCATTGGAAATCATGAGTATGACTGGCCTTCCCAACCTTGGAAACCCTCCTGGGCTGCAAACATATATAATGGGAAGGATAGCGGTGGTGAATGTGGTGTACCATACAGCATCAAGTTCAGAATGCCTGGAAACTCTTCTTTCCCTACTGGCACCAGTGCTCCTGACACTCAGAATCTCTACTACTCATTTGATGCAGGTGTTGTTCATTTTGTTTACATGTCCACTGAAACCAATTTCACTCAAGGCAGTGATCAGTACAAATATATAAAAGCTGACCTTGAGCGTGTCAACCGGAGTCGAACACCATTCATTGTGTTCCAGGGCCACCGACCGATGTACACCTCAAGCAATGAGGTCAGGGACACAGCTCACAGGGAGCAGATGATTCAGCATCTGGAACCACTCTTTGTGAAACACGGCGTGACACTTGCTCTGTGGGGGCATATTCACAGCTATGAGAGATTCTGCCCCATGAAGAACTATCAATGCCTTAACACGTCATCAAGCTTTGTGTACCCTGGTGCTCCTGCACATGTTGTGATCGGGATGGCTGGGAAAGACCACCAGCCAAGCTGGGAACCGAGACCTGACCACCCCAAAGATCCCATATTCCCTCAGCCACAAAGGTCCATGTACCGCAGTCGTGAGTTTGGGTACACGAAACTTGTGGCCACAAGGGAGAAGTTGACACTAACGTACATTGGGAACCATGATGGGCAAATCCATGATATGGTTGAAATATTCTCGCGGCAGGTCAATACTGATAGCACACCTGATGAGCATAAGCCGGTCGGTGCGATGCCGAAAAAATTGACATATATGGTAATTGCTGGCTGAAGGGCGGGCCTGGTGCAAGCGGTAGAGTCCTACCGCCTGTGACCGGAAGGTCCCGGGTTCGAGTCGCGGTCTCCTCGCATTATATGGTAATTGCTGGCTGTGTGATGGACAGAGCGGGAGCTCTGACCTGGGACGCCTCTTTTATGGTAATTGCTGGCTGTGTGATGGTTGTGATGCTGCTCGGTTTCATGGCTGGCTTCGCTGTTAGAAGGAAGACGGACTCTGCACGCTGGACTCCTGTAAAAGATGAGGAATCCTAGTTACTTCACCCTTACTCGTTTCTGTTGGTAATTACTCTATCTTTTTCACTGTAACTTATATATAGATACCAACTAAATATTTGACCTTTAGACTGATTGTTATTGTTAAGTATGTAACTTTGATTAAAGTTGTTGTGTGTATCCTTTGGTGCAGAGGTTGGGGTGCTTTCAAATTTGTTGTATCAACTTGATTTAATGATGATCAATAAACTTCCTTCTTTCAAACTAAATATTTAGAAAAGATATATGAGAACTATTTAGAGCTTGCCTTGAACCACATTTTGGCTATGAACTACTGAGGCATGTTAGGAGGAGCTTCGGCTCTAGCTTCTTTTTATCTCTCTTCTTAAAATAACTAGAGGCCCATGAACACAACCACAGAGAAGATTTTCAGAGACCAGTTTTTTTAGAGGAGGGCAAACTAACCGCCTCTAACAAATGGTCTCTGTTAATGGCCATTTACAAAGACCGTCACTATTTTTTGCTTACCGACTCTGGCTCCTTCGTGCATAGCCAGGAGTCGGAGTCAGGTGAAATAGGTCCTAAACTTCGTCTTTTTGTTTGGAATTGTCACAGTTCCTAATTAACTACATGAAGAGAACTAGTGATAGTCAATTGTAAACAATCTGAGCGATCGTAGGGTCCAACTTTCAATCAAGCCAAATAACAACACGAGCTCTTCAATAATCAAATAGTAATGTTTTCGAGAGGAACGAAGCTTTGGGTTATATAACTGAAAATTGGTGCCTGAGGTGGCAGACTTTTTTGTCGGGTGACAAGAAGAGAACATTCTGATTTCCCCATGGAGAGAGGGCTTCGTAAAGGCGCATTCAGTGAGTTCAAAGTTTTCGAAATTGGAGGTCTAAGCTAAATGCCAAATTTGTCAAGAGAGGACTGAGCGCGAGGAATGAATCCGGAAAGATTATGGAAGCGCAGCACAACGAGTTTGTTCGATAGCTCCTGTTTAATCAATTTCTTAGATCATTCAGTAGTAGATTCTTTCCTCTCTTTTTTCCCCTAATAATTGTCAGAAGATCGGCATGCGCATCCCGTCTGCTGACTCCGGTGTTCATCCTACAAACTTCGTCAAGAATAGCCTATGATCCTAATGAACCCTAGCAAGTCTTCCAGAGTTGCAGTTCGATCTAGGCGAGCGTGGCCGGCCTGCGCGCGACGCGCCTCGTGCTGGTGACCAGTTTGAACCACTGGCCCTCCGGGTCGCACGCCCCGTCCCCGCGCTGGCGCGCGCACGGGTTCGTCACGATGCTCCTGCCGTCCGTGCCCACGTCCAGGCACAGCATTCCGCCGCCGCCGTACTCGCCGGCGCCCAGCCCAAGAGCAGCGGCGTCGACGGCGACGTGCATCGCGGAGTCTGTCGCCAGGCGCCACGTCGACAGGGGGTCGCCGCAGGCGTTGGTGCCGAGACGCGCGGGCTGGCCACGCCCCTCGGCCCGCAGGCACGGGAGCCCCGCGGCCGCGGCGTCCCTTAGAACAAGCGTCGACGACGGCGGCGCGTACGCCCACGCGTCCGTCTCGTTGCACGGGCCCAGCTCCAGTGTCGTGGTCACCGCGTCCCCGCGCCGCACCGCGCAGAGCCCCGTGAGCGGGTGGAACAGCACGGTGTACGGCAGCGCCTCGCCGTAGCCAGGACCCTGAACGAACACGCCCCACTCGTCAGCATGCGGCCATGGGAATCTGGAGCAGCGATGATATCGCGACGCGACTGACCTTGGAGCGGCCGCTGCAACGCCTGGATCCTGGGGGGCACGGTCTCGTTGCGGGGCTTGCTCCAGGACCAGTCGAGGACGCCGTACACCTCGTCCATCCCGGCGACGCCCTGCCGGAGCGCGTAGCTGCCCTGCAGCGCCCAGTCCACGTCGTGCTCCGCGGCCACGGCGGCCGCGCACGGGAAGTACCGGTTGTCCTTGCGGTCGCCGCCGCGGGAGTCGGCGCCGAACTCGCTGAGGAAGAGCGGGAATCCCCGGGCGAGGAGGAACCCGCCGCGGCGCGGCCGCACACCTCGTTGGCGCTCTCCGCCTCCCACGCGCGTGCGTCCGAGAAGCTGTACCAGTGCACCTCGAACACCAGCTTGTTCTCCGCCGCGAAGCTGACGCCCACCTGCCTCGCGGCCAGGAAGGACAGGTCGTAGTCGTAGATCAGGCCGCCCATGACCACCAGCGCCCGAGGGTTCGCCGCGTGAACCGCCTCCGCGCCCCTCTGCATGTACCTGCCCCGGCAGTCCGGTGCAGTCTCAGATTTTTTTTAAAAAAAAGCAAAATGTACGTGCAAAATCTGCAGTCGACTTCGATGGTGAACAAACAATTAACTTATGTGTACCAATCTTTGGGGTTCTGCCTCGGGCCACGGAGCTCGTTCCGCAGGCTCATGCGGTCATGCCGACGACGTTGGGCACGTCGGCGAAGATGGTGGACATGCTGCCCAGCCCGTCCACCCACACGTTTGGGTCGAAGTCCCTCAGCCTGTAACTGTTATCTGGCTCGGCTTATCAGCCAGCAATAGTGTTTTTCTCTCACCATACCAAACCAGCCAACGGTACTTTCAACCATGGCTTATAAACCAATCTAGCCGAAACGAACAGGCTGCCTGTCGCCGAAGAACCCATTGCCGTCATCGTTGCTGCAGCACCACAAGGGCGTTCACCACAGCCTGCATGGCATCACAAAAACGACGGTGGCCAGAAGCCCTGGAAGCTTGAAGGTTATTAAAACGAACAGCACTAGCTCCTCTCAGGAAGTCTCGGGCATTGCCTTGAGCGAGTCGATGAGCGTGAGGTTGAGGAAGCCGGGGTTGTCGACCTCGACGCCACCGACCATCTCCGAGAGGCCGTGGGCCAGGAGGGACTGCCGCACGGTGAGCGCCGACAGCGAGGCGTCGGTCGCCAGCACGATCGGGTACGTGAGGCGGACGCAGTTGAACCCCAGGGAGACGACCATGTTAGGTTGATCTCGGGCCCAACGGTCTAGTTGGGTCTTTATCCGCATCCTGATCGGGGGCGCTCAGCCCACTATGACTGGAGGACTCCTGTCACACTGCGCAATAAATAGAGGTGGGGACCGGCGGCTCAAGTCACGAGGTTCGCCTGAGCCAAGCTCCCCACCGACAAACCCTAAACCCGATCTAGTGAGGGGAGCAGCCAGTGACGGGAAGCACCTCCACCACAAAGATCAAGGCCGCCCCGGATCGGCCACCGGACTCCATCGCTTTCACCGCCGCCGCCACTGCAGCATCACCGACGCCGTCTTCACCGACCGTCACTGCCCTAGCGTAGACACCGATTCCATGGCGGACGCGAGCGGATCGAAAGCCTACGATGGTCGGTAACCTAGCACTACCTCTCTCTCTAATATCTGTCTAGTGCATGTACTAGGACATGTTATACATTTACATGATATACCCGGCTAGATCTATGGCTTTGTGATAAGAATAGTTTCTATAATGGTACTAGAGCCAGTGTTTTCTAGGGTTTTAGATCTAGAACGGGTGAACGATAAAACACAGAGTAGATCCGTTCGGATCTGAGAAAAGAAGAGGGTTTTCCTAACCCTAAGCCTAACTGGGTAAAAGAAAGAAGAGATGGAAGGCTCGGCTTCAAGTCCACTCGAAACCGAACCCTAAACCCGAAATTAATTCGGGAAGAAGAAGAACAGAGCGAATCCCTAACTCTAACCCGAAACCCTAACCCTAGATCCCCAATAGGTTGAATCCGAGAAGAACAAATCAGAAGGGGAAGAAGGGAAGGGAGGCCTGCCTCGACCGCTGCTGACACTGCCGTAGTGTGGCTCGCCGACGCGCGGAGAGAAGAAGACCGAGCCGGGGGCGCTGCTCGCCGGGCTCTGGCCAAGGGGCGCCATAGCCAGACTGCTCGATAGCGACGCGCTCACCCGCTGGGGAGCGCGCTCGCTGGCGAGGGGGCCAGCGACGGCGCCGAGGCTCTGCTCGCCCTCCATCGTTTGCTCGCTCGGACTTACCTCGCTGCGGCTGCGCTACGGGGAGGAGAGAGGAGAGCGACGAAGAGAGAGAGAGCAAAGAAAAGAATGGGCTAGGGTTTTAGGGACGACCGCAGCGGGGGTTTTTTTATCCTGTGAAAACACCACTCGGCCGTTGGATCGGCGCGGACGGCTCAGATCGAGCGGGCCGTTTCAGTAGCCTGTGTAGCGCAAGGCGCCTGCTGCACTTTGCCGCCCAAGCCCACGTTGCGGCTCTGGGTGCGGCAGGCGGCATTGCATGTAGGTGGTGGGCCGAGCCAAATTGCCGACTTCGGGCCCAGTAGCAGTAAAGAGGGAGCCTAATTTTCCTTTTTTCTTTTTTAGTAAAATTGAAAAATGAAAAATAGCTCAAAAGAAATCAGAAAATTGAATTTTTCCTGTGGATAAAATTCAAGAAAATGAGTTCATTTTTTCCGCTGCGTATTTAAAGTTGTTATTTTCATTATTAAATTTGAACCAACGGGAGAATTTAATTTTGAAAAATGGATATGTTTTAGTTTATTATAATATTGTTATTATTCTGACCAACGTTGATTAATGGCAATATTATGATGTTTTGTCATGCATTAATTCTATTTCTTCCCAACGGTGATGTAGAATTAGTGTAGAGGATAATTGTATGTTTTAATTTTGACCAACGTTGGAACTAAGGCATATAATTGTTATTATTATGTTTATGTTCTCACTCTATATGAATTGTGTTTTCAGGCGGATACAACTTGATGGGTTGTATCAAAGAGATCCCCACTCTCAAAGGTAACAACTACACGGAGTGGAAGAAAAAGATTGATCTGGCCTTCATCTTGGCTGACGTGGACTGGGTAGTCACCTCACCGTGTACCACTGAGCCTGTGGCATCGGTGAGGGAGACAAACGAGGCTGATACCGCTTGGGCAACCAGAGAAAGGGATTTTGCATCCCAAAAGATGTCCTATGACCTTGAGCATAGGAAGTGGGTCACTGCCAACAAAAAATGTATGTCTGTGATAAAGAATATGATTGAGCCTGTAATTGTGGGCTCAATTCCAGAGTGTGACATCGTCACCGAGTACCTCGATAGAATAAAGAGTCAGTTCACTGGCTCTTCAAAGACATATGCTACCCAGCTGATAAAACAGCCGATGACAGAGAGATACTCTAGAAATGGTGGCATAAGAGAGCACATACTAAGGATGAGCAATTTGGTATCCAAGCTAAAACCAATGGATCTGGCTCTCAAGAAAGAGTTCCTTATCCATCTGATTTTTGTTTCCTTACCAAAGGAATTTGACACTTTTGTTGTCAATTACAACATACAACCTGAGAAGTGGGACTTAGAGAGGCTCATGGCTATGTGTGTGGAAGAGGAGGAAAGAATGAAAGCTGCCAATGGTGGCACTATTAATTATGTGAAAGATAACAAGAAAAAAAATAATGCTAACTCCTCCTCAAAGCCAAAGTGAAAGGGTCCCATGCTGCATCAGCCTCAGTAAAACAAGTTCACAGTAGAGAAAGACCAGTGTCTCTATTGCAAGAAGATGGGACATTATAAGAAAGATTGTCCCGATTACTTAAAGATGATCATGGCAAAGAAAGGTGAGAACATTATTACGTTCATAAATGAATCCCTGTATGTATAGTATTCAAAATCTACTTGGTGGATTGACTCAGGTGCAACTGTTCATGTTGCTAATTTTTTACAGGGATTCCGTTTGACGAGGACTACGCAAAGAAGAGAAAGACACGTTAAAGTTACAAATGGGGTTCGAGCAGATGTCGAAGCCGTTGGCGATCTTTCTCTAGAGCTTGCTCATGGCTTCATACTTTTACTTAGAGATGTTCTTTATGTTCCCTCTTTACAGAGAAACTTGATTAGTGTTTCATACTTGGATAATGATGGATATGATTGCCATTTTGGAAATGGCAAATGTAAGATAACATTTAATAATGCATGTGTTGGTATTGCTATCTTACAAAATGAGCTTTATTTGTTATCACTACGTGATGAAGTGAATGTTGTATGCGATGATGGGAACGTTGCGTGCGACAATGAGAATGTATCCTCGTCTGCGGATGTAAATAGAAAACAAAAGAGAGCTCACGATGTGTTGTCAAAATTATGGCATTGTCGTTTAGGCCATATTTCGAGGGAGAGAATAGAAAGACTAGTTAAGAATGGTATTCTTCCTCCATTAGAGTTTCCAGATTTAGAACAATGCAGAGAATGCATAAAAGGAAAGTATGTAAAGAAAATTAAGAAAGATGCCAAATGAAACGCGGGAATTTTATAGATTATTCACATAAACATATGTGGTCCGTTTCCTGTAAAGAGTGTGGATAGTTATGATTTGTTCATAACATTCATAGATGATTACTCCCGTTATGGCTACATTTATCCAATCAAAGAAAGAACAGAAGCATTGGATAAATTTAAGATATTTAAGGCAGAAGTTGAAAACCAACACAATTTAAAGATTAAGATAGTCAGGTCCGACCATGGGGGAAGTACTACGGTCGGCATACCCCATATGGCCAAGTTCCTGGATCTTTTGTAAGGTTTTTATAGGAGAATGACATAGTAGCCTAGTATTCTATACCGGGCGAACCTCAACAGAATGGAGTAGCTGAAAGACGTAACCGTACCCTGATGGATATGGTGCGCAGTATGATAAGTTACTCCACCTTACCGTTGAGCCTGTGGATGGAGATGATAAAAACCGCCATTCATGTTCTCAATAGAGTACCAAGTAAGTCGGTGCCCAAAACACCGTATGAGTTGTGGACAGGAAGAGTACCCTCACTAAACCACTTACGTGTGGGGGGAGTCCTACTGAGGCTAAAGTATTTAACCCAAACATTGGGAAGCTAGATCCCAAAACAGAAAGTTGTCATTTCATTGGCTACCCAGAAAAGTCAAAAGGTTTTTGTTTATACTGTCCAGACAGACATACAAAGTTTGTGGAAATGAGACACGCTGTCTTCCTAGAGGATGAAATGATGAAGGGGAGCATGGTAGCTCGAGAAATTGACCTTGAAGAGAAGCGGGTGTATCCGCCCACTCCGATGATTAATGAGCCATTTTTTCTCACTACTCTGATGTCGCTGCACCGACAGTGCAAGATACTATGGTGCCAGCACCTATTGTTATTCCGCCTGTGGCAACAATGAATGACGATGAGGAACCTATTCTTTAGGATCCTATAGAACCTATTACCACACATGAGGGGGAGCAACAACAGCCTCAAATAGGAGATGTGCCAAATGTGGAGGCCCCTAAAAGGTCTCAAAGAGTTAGAAAATCAGCTATTCCTGCTGACTATGAAGTATACAATACTAGGGAATTTCAAATGGAGGATGATCCCACCTCATTTGAAGAAGCCATGAGAAGTGATCATTCATCAAAGTGGCTTGAGACCATGGAAGATGAAATGAAATCTATGAATGCCAATAAAGTTTGGGACTTGGAAATAATTCCTAAAGAAGCTAAAACAGTAGGCTATAAATGGGTCTACAAAATAAAACTTGACTCTCAAGGGAATATAGAGATATATAAAGCGCGACTTGTGGCAAAAGGCTTTAAGCAAAGAGAAGAGATTGATTACAATAAGACATTTTCTTCAGTCTCATGTATGGATTCCTTTATAATCATAATGGCATTAGTGGCACATTACGATTTAGATTTACATCAGATGGATGTAAAGACGACATTTCTCAATAGGGACTTGAGGAAAATATTTACATGGCACAACTGAAAGGTTTTGTCATGGAAGGAAAAGAACGAATGGGATGTCGCTTAAAGAAATCCATTTATGGATTAAAACAAGCTTCAAGACAGTGGTACTTGAAGTTTGATCAGACAATAAGAAATTTTGGGTTTAAAGAGAATGTTGAGGACAATTGTGTCTATGCAAAGTTTAAGAATGGAAAGTTTATCTTCCTTGTCCTGTATGTGGATGACATCTTACTTGCTAGTAGTGATGTCAGTCTACTACTAGAGACAAAGAAGTTTTTATCCTCAAAAATTGATATGAAAGATCTTGGTGAAGCCTCATTCGTTCTAGTGATCGAGATTCACCGAGATAGAAGTAAAGGGGTATTAGGACTGTCACAAAAGGCATACATAGAAAGAATCTTAAAGAAATTCAGTATGCACAAATGTAGTCCCTCACCTGCTCCTATAGTCAAGGGCGACAGATATGGAGATTTTCAATGCCCTAGGAACCAATATGAGATCGATCAAATGAAAGCGGTTCCATATGCTTCAGCTGTCGGAAGCTTGCAATATGCTCAAGTATGTACGCGCCCTGACTTGGCATTTGTTATTGGGTTACTTGGTAAATTCCAGAGCAATCCTAGAACAGAACCCTGGAAATTAGTAAAGAAAGTCTTGCGTTATTTGCAAGGAATGAAAGGCCTCATGATGACGTATAGAAGATCTGATTCACTTCATATAGTGGGATATTCAGATTCTGATTATGCGGGAGATGATAGAAAATCCACATCTGGATATGTATTCACTCTCGTAGGGGGAGCTATTTCATGGAAAAGCTCAAAGCAAACCGTCACTACATCGTCCACAATGTATGCAGAGTTTGTAGCATGTTATGAGGCAACGGGGTAGATGAACTGGCTAAAGAAGTTCATACCCGGTTTGAAGGTGGTTGACGACATCTATAGACCACTTAAGTTATACTATGATAATAATCCAGCAGTACAGTATGCTCGCAATAATAAGTCAAGTGGTGCTGCCAAACACATTGACATAAAGTATTATGTTGTGAAAGATAAAGTCCGGGATCATGTCATAAGTCTTGAGCATATAAGTACCGAAAAGATGCTCACGGATCCGCTTACAAAAGGCTTACCACCCAACGTGTTCAGAGAACATATAGCCAGCATGGGTTTAAGGGAAAGCCTATAATTTCTAGACAAAAGAAGGCCCAAAGATAAGTATCTATTTCAGAACAGAGTGGCGTGTTGTAGCTGTTAAATCTATCGGCAATTGACCGTGACGATGAAACATGCTCTATGCGCTAATATGTAATGGAATGAACAAAAGTAAATGATATGAAATTGAAAGATAGTAGGAGATCAAAGGGGAGATTATTAGGTTGATCGCTAATCCTAAACTGGGCCCAACGGCCCAGTTGGGCCTTTGATCCGCGCCCTGATCGGGGGCACCTAGCTCACTATGGCTAGAGGGCCCCTGTCACACTGCGCAATAAATAGAGGTGGGGGCCGGTGGCTCAAGTCACGAGGTTCGCCTGAGTCGAGCTCCCCACCGACAAACCCTAAACCCGATCTAGTGAGGGGCGCAGCCAGTGACGGGAAGCACCTCCACCACAGCACTACGCCACCTCCGGACTGCATCACCGGACTCCACTGCCTTCACCGCTGGTCGCCACCGCGCATCACCGACCGTTGCTGCCCTAGCGCAGACACTGATTCCATGGTCGGACGTGAGCGGATCGAAAGCCTACGATGGTCGGTAACCTAGCACTACCTCTCTCTCTAATCTATGTCTAGTGCATGTACTAGGACATGTTATACATTTACATGATGTACTCGGCTAGATCTATGGCTTTGTGATAAGAATAGGTTCTACAAACCATCCCGGTGATGGTGCCCACGGGTTGCCTGCCGAGCCCCTCGGTCACCACGAGCTCCAGGTGCAACGGCCAGTTCACGCAGGCCAGCTTCACCCGGTGCCCCGCCAGGTCCATGATCCATCGCGACGACGTCGACAGCGTGATGGCCGCCGCGGGCTCACGGTGGCTGGCAAGGATGACGACGAGCAAAAGGCACAGAACAGCACGGAGGGAGGGCACCAGCCACATGGTGTGCATGCGGGGGGATAATCTCTGTTTGCTATGGCGCACGTCCAAGAGTGTGATGAGCGCATGTTTATATTGTTTTAATGAGATCGATCGGTGGCATGCTCCTAATTCACATCTGCACGCGGTAAAAACAAAACAAATATCTGGAGAAGGTTGGTGATGAGTTGGAGTGGCCGACATAAAAGTGTAGAATCACGACGACCTCGCCGGACTCACCAGCAACAGTTGTTAGCATGTTAGGGGGGACCGAAGAACATTGCTCGTGTTGGCTAACGGCGCATGTTGATTAGAGCATGAGGTACTAAGATGCCAGAGAATTATGGTCTGGATTCATTAGTGCTAGTGGTTAACTAGCTACTAGCTAAAAGTCTATCAACTGTTAGCTAGATATAGATCCATCAGTTAATAGGTAATTGGATAGTTGGTTGGAGATGTATATAAACTATTAGCACCCTTTCATCATCTAATAACGTATTGTTAGCGCATCCACTTGCTAAAAGCTAGTAGAACCACTACCTGAAATAGGATCTTTGCCGTGTGTCCAAGGCACACGGCAAAGCCTAAAAACACTCAACAAACAACACACAGCGTACACAGTGACGGCAAAAGTTTATTTGTCGAGTGTTTTTTATCGGGCACTCGACAAAGACGTTGCTGAGTGCTGAAACCAACGCTCGACAAAAAAGTAACGTGATGGTGCGGAGACGGTCACGTCGTGTTTGCCGAGTGTCTAACAGCCTTGGCACTCGGCAAACATGACCTTGTTTGCCGAGTGCCCCGGCCCCGACACTCGGCAAATAATCCATGTTTACTGAGTGTCACATCCTAGACACTCGGCAAAGACTGACCATTCCAGACCCAGCTTTTGGTCTCTTTGCCGAGTGTCCAGGCGCTGACACTCGGCAAACATGCCTTCTTTGCCGAGTGTCACAGTGCAAACACTTGGCAAAAAGTCATTTTATCCCCAGAATGCATAGATTTTTACCACGTGTCCACTTTGCCGAGTGTATTTTTCATGGCACTCGGCAAATAGCCCTTTTAACGAGTGTAACACTCGGCAAAGCTGCCACATATAACCAGTTTATTTGGTTCGATCACAGCCACGTACCATATTCAAATAAACATCACATCCATCACATATAGTTCACATTAGGCATCACAGACAGTTCATATAGATATATCGACCACATCACAAATGCAAATGAACTTCACAATCACAAATGCAAATAAACTTCAGAATCACAAGTACATAGTTCCTAGTCGCTCTCCAGGCTCATCAGGAATGCAAATAAACTATGACCACGGTGACCACCGTGACCACTGTCGATCATAAGGCTCATTCGATGCCACAGATTGATTCTGCACAAAGGAGAAGAGATAAATCATTAACAGTGATTGAGAATGAAACATACAAGTATTAGAAATAAACTAGCAACTAGAAAAAGTGATTAATTTTGCGGAAACTAAAAGTAGCTAAGTTACAGTGATTGAGAACGAAACAATGATTACAAGGTTAACTACAAACTAGAAATAAACTAGAAATTAGAAACTATAAACATACGCACATCACAAAGGAGAAAAGATTGATTCTGTATAAACTAGAAACGATGATTATAAGGTTGTGAAGTGACTCACAGTGACTAAAACAGTATTTAGAGTAGGTTGAGGAGGAGGGACTGGCATCGGTGGCGGAGGTTGACCGATTGCAGCGTAAACACCCCTCATATATTCAAACATCTGCAGCCGCTCTGCCTCCATCCTCTGTCGCTCTACCTCTAGCTCCTCCCAGCGTCTCGTTTCTTATTCCAGCTGAGCCTATAATATTTCATCCCAATGTTACAATGCAATGCAAAAGTATGTAAAAATCAATGAACGATGAATAAAATAGAAATAACCTAGAGTGTGTTCATCTGGAACCATGTAGAGTCCGGCCATGGGCGTATCGTCGGGCTAGAACTCGTGCTCCGTGCTCGAATCTGGGAGAGAGTGGGAGTACTGGCCGTGTCGATTGTGCCATCGCCAATCTAGAACCGGCTAAGCTTCTTGCCTCCTCCTGCCCTCATGACCACTTCTCCATCAAGGTCATGTGCGCTCGGATCGTACTCTGGCCCATGGACCGCCCTTGCCATCGATGTGTATCCATCGAGGCAGCTGTGGACGGACTCGTTGCTGTACGCCAAGGGTGGGTCCTCCGGGTTGTAGGCAACGTCGGCCGTCGCCTTGCCCTTATGGGCCAAAGCATATGCCATGAACTAGGAGCAAGGCTCGCCACCATGTGCCGCCGACTGCAAAAAAAGTAATATGATTAGAAATTATGCAGAATTGAGCGTTAGAATAAAAAAATAAATTTGTGTACCCATCTAGCCATGTATTCCGAGAGGTTGAGGTTGCCTTGATGGTGTGGTGCACCCGACATTAGCAAACGCCGCTCCCGGCAAGTGTTGTGATTCTCCTCCCACGCGGGGTCGCACCCACTTGTCCACCATCCGGGCCCAACACTACAGATCGTAAGCGCACTACCACGGAGGCACCTACGTCATCAAGTATATGACATATAAGAAAATGAAATTAAGCATAATTAATCTAAAAAAAAAGTATTGATGTTCTATATTTACCTTCAGGTATTGTTCTGGGGTCAGCCTCATGGTTCTTGCTGCACTTTTATGGACCCTCACTCTAAGAATTTCCACGTGGTATTGGATCATGACCTGGATGCGCGCCTCGTAGTGCATGTCCTTGACGAGTTTCTTGGTGGCTTTGTCAGCCACAACATCCGCCTTGGCCTCGTATCCCTCCTTGCATCTAAAGAAATCCTGCATATAAACGCGATGTATCTAGTCATTATTTCAAGAATGTCCAGTCAATGTGATGTATTGAGCAATGTAGTGTGAGAAAGACTTACCCAAAGCTCGGCCTTGACACGCTACGCCTTGTCGGTGAATACCCTACCATCCAGTTGAGAACCTTAGTATGCCCGTGAAGGGGTTGCTGTGCCATAGACAACATATCGTAATACACCTTTGTGGTTGGCTTTGGCTCCTCCTCCCTACATCCTTCATTGAAGTGTGCTTCATGATAGTCATTTAACATGTCTCCTACCCCGGCATCAGCATCATAATCCTCGATGCGTTGTCTCATGACTTTGTCTCTCACACGATCGAATTCACCATGGTAGATCCACCAGGTATAGTCTGCCGTAAATTCATTCTTGCAAAGATGTTTACCCATGACAACCTTTGTTTGTCGATGCATGTTTGCACAAATGTTGTAGAGACACCAAGTGGCACGCGCTCCTTTAACCCTTGTAAATGCTAGTTCCAAGAAAGCATCGGTCTTCTTAATCCATTCATCGATCAACGAACCCTGACTAGAGCGGCCCATGTACATCCACTCACGGTCATCCATCCTCTAACATATCAGCAAGTAATATAAAAATCAATTGCATCTACAGGTCCCTATGTGGTGGTCTAATAGGTGAAGATAGGTCCTAATCCCACCCGAGGATGTGTAGATGAGGTTAGTTTTCATGCTCTACTCCTATCCGAGACACAATTTCGGTAGCACCTCCCCGTTATTCTCCAAATACACGTCCTAGCAGAAAGATTGTGTATCTAGAGAATAATAGGGAGATGCTACCGAAACTCTGTCTCGGATCAGAGTAGAGCATGGAAACTAACCTCATTTACACATACTCGGGTTGTCCAAAAAGCGTGGACAATTTGAAACATATAGAGAGAATTCCTTATTTGACCTTTGGGAAAATGAGTAGAGCATGACACTCAAAACTAACTACCCCATCAAATTTGAGAGAAAAAACATACCGGGTTGTTTCAAAAAACGCTCTTTGGACAATTTGAAGCTAACGGATTTGATATGGTTATAGATATGCAAAGATCAAATCTCAAGAAATATTTCTAACCATATCTCTTTCAAAACGGGAGAAGCCTATCTAGGTTATGCAAAGATATACATAACTAATCATCTCTTTCGAAGAGAGGAGTAGGATGCATCACTTTGTTGTCATCTACGAGAAGAGAGGTGTATGAGTCTACAAAGTGATGAGTCGAGGGTGGTGGGGAATGATCTTTGCAATAGCCTCTCCTGCAACAAAGGAACATAATAGTGTCAATTATAAATTTCGGCAGCACCTCCCCTGCACGGTGAGGTAACTAAAACCTACAACAAACCAACGGCACGATGGCCGACAACCACATACACACCAAACCAACAAAACGATGGGCGACAACCACATGCACAGGTTATACCTTGCAAAACCACGGTAGGTCCAAGGTGTGGGGCGGCGGGAGGGCAAGGCACGGAGCGACGGACGGCGGCGGCAGGGCGGGGTAGGGAGCGATGGCCACATAGCCTATTATAACATAAAACAAACCATGTTATAACCAAATTATAACATGATTGGTTTAGCACAAGTAGCAAAACTTTTCTTTGGCAACTTGCGTTTCAGACAAAATGACGGACATGATTGGTTTAGCACAAGTAGCAAAACTTTTCTTTGGCACCATCTACCAGAAAGATACACCTGACAATAGACTTGGATTACATTCAACTCCAACTGATCACTGCATGCATATTAAACACGCAATTGCTACATTGCTTTGACTGGCAATGCAAGTATTATTACCAAACTAGGGGTTAATTTATATATAGTCTAGCTGAAACAATCAGCTGATCATGTTCTCTGATGATTAAGTAAACGTGGCTCAATTGGTTTGTTCGGTTCATCAATAATCTAAACCTAATAAAGTATTGTACATCAGAATGAGGTATGATGGTCTTGTTTAACAAGTCACAAATGTGACTAATCATTTGACCAATTACTTAGTGCTAGCTAGTACTAACAAGAATCAAGATGAATTATCAAGCTCGAAATTCTAAATTGTATGTGCAGCTATAAGAGAAGATGGCTAGCTAGCTCCTAGACACGAGATATGATTTGCACTCCTGATCACTAGATGATTTGCAGGTTTTTTTCCCAGGCC